AAGAATTATAACACCCATTATGAGGTGATGCTAGTTAGTGGGAAAAGCTACTTCAAAACAAAACTAACAATTAACTGATAGGACAATTAGTGATATTTTAAAATATTACGTATACAGTATATATATATAAATAATAATTATGTAATAGAAACTTGTGGAAATCAATGATCGAAAATTACAATTTCATGTATACACACACACTGAAACAATGTTCGGTGAAAATACAATCGTAACAAAGAAAGATTTTATTTAATATCCCAAACATTAATGATATTAACATACAAATCATCAACATGTAAAAATATACATGTGCTCATTTGTAAGTAGTATATTTAAGTTGAAGTAAATAAATCATCCATCAGTCAGAAAATAATTCCATTTTTTACTTTTTTTTTTACAACAGAAAAAGAAAAGAACATGTGAACATGGTTTGGAAGGATAAGAAAAAAATTAATTTTAGAATTATAAAATGAACGCACCGCAAAAAAAAAAAAAAGAAAATTACTCAACTTTGGAGTTATTATAAATATAATTGATAATTTATTAAAACAAATGATTGTCGCAATGGATTAAAACAATGTCTATTTTGAATAGGTTTATTATAAAGTAAAAAAACAAACATAATATATATAGATAGATAGATATAATACTACGAAAATCATATTTATACATTATTGTGTCAAATGTGTAACAAACATTCCTTTGTAATTTATGTTAACGCTGTAGCTGGGATAGTATTCGATGAATTAGGAAATGTTAAATTTAAAGAAGTTGGACAAAATTTACCAGCATTCATTTTAGGCATACCAATATTTGAATTAGTTAAAAAGTGTTCAACAGACACAGCAGCAGCTGCTGCAGCCGCTGCAGGATGTATAATTGCTTGTGTATGTGGATCCAAGAAAGCACAACCTTCACATTTTGTTTTTTCACAATCAATACCATTAGCAAGGAGATTAAATGTAGAAGTATTATTATTATTGTTATTATTATTATTATTACTACTTGTAACAGGTGTACATCGTTGACTACGTTTTTTATGTGCACTATAACTACTATTATCAGAAAATGATCTACCACAAAATTCACAACGATACGGTCTTTCACCAGTATGTATACGTCTATGCTTTACTAGACTACTTGACACAGAGAAACTTTTACCACAATCACAACAATGATATGGACGTTCCCCGGTATGTATTCGTTTATGCGCAGATAGACTACTTGAATCGGCAAATGCACGACCACATTGCATACAAGCAAATGGTTTTTCACCTGTATGCGTACGACGATGTTTAACTAGATCACTAGCACGATGAAATGATTTTGAACAATCTGTGCAATGATGACGTTTCACACGTTCATTACAATTAGTTGAATGACGTACAGTTGTTACACATTGATTAGATTGGATATTATTGTTAGCAGCAGAAGTAGGAGTAGTAGTAATAGTATTGTTTCCATTGTTAGTAGGTATTATTATACCAGAATTAATATTACTGTTACTACTGGTAACAATTTGTTGTAAATGATTCATTTCATCCTTAGAATTACATAAATTATTCTTGAATGAAAGTTGTCTACAGTTTAGAATTGAATGAATCTTTTTTTCAGCTTGATGAGATAAAGTTGCACGAGCACAGAGAGCGAAATGGTTAAATTCATCCGCTAGAGGGACACGGCTAAACATTTATGTGTGTTTCAAAGGGAGAGAGATCTCTATTTGAAAATATTAACACAATAAATTGATTTGGAACAAGGTAGTCAGTCAATTAAGCAGTGGTAGTATGCATGAGTATTTATCAAAAGAATCTACAAAGGCAATAAAAGTGATAAACAATATAAACATTTTTAAAATGTTATTTATTCAACAACTATAGAATAACAAAAATTGGACTAACAATTTGAATTCAACATCATTGGACAAATTACGCTTACCAAACAGCTAAGGAAACCACCGAATTAACGTGAAGTATACCCTTTAATACTAATCAATATTGTTTGCTCGCAAACAAAGGTCACTAGTACTAAAGAGTAACAGGTTATGGTAGAAACTAGCTCATTAGAAGAACTATAGTGAAACGTAGAAGCTGAATTGTATACATTTTGATTACTTTGATGTTGAAATATCTAACATGGACCAATGAACCTCATGGATATGAAAATAATACTATCAAAACATTTATAGTATTCGTTAACACAGAGTTCAACAACGTACATACTAGCACGACAATCTACTATTTAAAACTGACAAACATTATTCAGATTACAGAAGCATGAAACAAAAGTGCAAAGACAAATAGGTATAAAATAAAAATGATAAGGGATGAAGAAAAGGGGTGAAATCGTTAGAGTAGTCAAACAGACATGGTTCACAACCCAATGAGCGAACATATATTATCTATAACACCATCAATAAGAGATTAGTGTAGTTTTTCAGGCAGTCATAAATGACTTAGGCTGTGGAATAAATGTGTTGAACTTTGTATTTTCACAGTTAAAATAAAGTAGGACAACGAAGAATATATTTAGAGAACAGAAACTTTCAGTAATATATTATATCACACCAGGAAAAACATACGTGCATAACTTCGTAGTACTGACCCTGGAATAAATATGATATTTAGCCTAACTAAGTAAGAATCAATTAACGATAATTTCATAACTTGACTATGAAGTTCAGTGAACTAGTAGAATTGACAGTAAAAATCTTTTTACGTCGACGAGAATATTTCTAAAGGTATGAGAAACATGGGAAGCAATATTCAGACAAACAAGTGCAGAGTTATTTGATAGAGGTAAGCAAACCACACTAACATGATTTACAAAAGTCAATACTTTGGGAGAATACTAAAGTAAATAAAACATTGTCAGGTTATAATTTGTATGCAACATGGAAAAATAATACGGTGGAAAATATAAAAAAAAATTACGATCTTTGCGAGCTGTAGTTTGGCTTTGAAGTATTATTAAGGCTGATATCTGAGACCAATCAGTTTGGGTGGCGTTCAGTTCACAGATTCTTCCCAAGATCTTAGTCAATTCAACTGCCAAAACTTGACCACCATCCTTAAGAATCTCAGGATTCATAGACCAGGACCAATCGCTGCAACTCGTCTTCGATTGCCCATGCTATTGTCAACATCGACTTGCCGTTCAGATCGACTAGAAATGTTGGGTAACTGAAGTGTGGCTAAAAGCTAGTTTAAGTGATCATACAAGAGTATAATCTGAGTCTAAACATGTGTCCCAGAATGAACGGCAGTCTACTGTCGAGCCTTTCTATCGGTAGCTGATAGCGATATGGTGTACTTGCATCCAGCATTGAGTCGATTTCGGGTGTCACCACGTGACTAAATGTCTTCCCTTATGCTTAAAATTGGTGTTTGCCTGAAATTGGCGGCTATCTGAGCACAGCTGCAGTAGACGGTCACCATTATCTGTTCGATGAGCAACAACACCATACGATTCATCCACATGTCTTTTAGTCTTCCTTCATCTACCTACTTTAGCATTAAAGTCAACAGCCACTATTATTACCTCAGAGTGCTTAGTTTTTTGGCGGTTGGGGAGCTTCCCGTATAATTCTCCTTTTACCTCACCCAAGTTGCAATCAGTAGGAGCACAGGCACAGACAACGGACAGACAACAGCCATTGTCCCTACTTTTTCGAGTCCTTACTGTCCTGTCTACTCAATACATACGAGACTACCCACTGAGATCCAATCTAAGATAGCTAGTTGTTCCTTAAAAGTAAGTGCTATAACTTCACCAGTAATGCCGCGATAAGCAGCAGTGGTGGCTCTTTTTTACTGACAAAGTGAGGTCAAGCAAATGACTACTAGGGTTCTGTATGTGTTTGGGAGACGCAGCATACATCGACAGCGTGGGTTTCTTGATTCCTAGCTAATCTAACCTATTCCTTCCGTTATGCGAAGGCAGCATCGCTGAAGACGCTAGTTGTCCGGGAAAAACACCTTACGGAAGAATTGGATTGTAAGCAAGATGATCTCATGGACTGTTAGAGGTACGACGGCGGCTATCACTCCCTTGAAGTAATATTACTTCTTGAGGGTCCTGAGAGTTTGATCGCACAGATCAAGAGACATCCACTTGAGGTCGGTCACGAATGGCTTTTTTATGCTATTCCTACCTAGTACGCGTTTCCTAACAACAGTATTGCTTACTCGGTTGTCTCACGAAAACAGCAATGTTTCGAAGGAACCTATGATGGAAAACCAGTAACCTATGAATATCCTCTACTCTTACTGATTATGATTCACACCTGCAATGTAAGTAGGACGGAACGGACTGTTGCGCAGTAAATGCGTCCTTTAATTGGTAGACGGATTTCGTCAGACACTAGACCATCAACACTGATGAGACTCCCCAGACAAGTGAAGCCGTCGACACGCTCGACTACTTCACTCCCTATCACCAGTTCAGGTACAGATGCAACCCAATCTTGAAGCAACAATTTGCATTTGAAGAGGGAAAACCGCATCCCAAACATGCTTGCATTATTGCTGAGGGTGTTTAGAAGACTCTGCATTTAGTCAGCATCTTTTCCACATGGAACTATGTCATCGGCATAGTCTAAGTCAACAAGCGAGTCTCCTTGTAGGTCCACGCCTGAAAAGTAGGACAAAGATAATGTTATCTTCAAAAGCATGTTAGTTTGCTACAAGCTCTAACTCGACCAGTAGTGTCTAAGCAGACAGCTTGTATAAGGTCAATGAATTTCTCTGGCATACCTTTTAATGAGAGACAACACCAAAGAACCATGTGATCGACAATCGAATGCTGCCTTAAGATCAAGGTATACAACTGAAGTGGGACGCCAAAATGTGTGTATGATCTAGGACCTGACGAAGAGTGAATATCCGGTCTATACATCCATACCCAGGTCGAAAACCAGCCTGGTTTTCTGTAGTCTGCTCTTCACGAGCTATAGTTAGGCGTATAAGTATAATCGAGGTTAACAATTTAGAAACTAAATCAGTTAGACTGATTACTGTATGTTTGTCAAAAGAAGACTTTCTTATAGTCCGCGACAATCAGTGATTGAGACCAGTTAGATGGGATTAGCCTAGTTCCCAAATTCTACCTATGATTTCAGTCGATCTAACTGCCAAAACTGGACTAACATCCTTAAAAGTCTCCAGGGCAAGCCTGTCAAGTCCTGCCGCTCTTTACCGCTTTAGATTCCCTATAGCCTTTTGAATTTCATACAGACTAGGACGACTTGCGTTTATTTTCCATTCAGCTTGACCGGAGATCGTCGGTAACTGAAGTTTGGCCGGCGGTCAGTCAAACTGATCCTTAAAGTACTCTGCCCATCGATCCGATCTCCTGGATTTAAAACGAATAACAGCCCCACAAGTTTCCCAGATAGTCTAACTAACAGTCGGATTTCTTATATCGGTCTCCTTGATAAGTCTGAACAGTTGTCGAATGTTACCTATCGCTGCTGCTTTTTACATCTCGCTTGCTTTCGCTGCACACCAGTGTTCGCTACCTTAGTATAGGCTCTTTATCAACCTGCGTTTAAGATTACTACGTTCCTCATCGTGTTCAGAACTAGATGGGATGAGTTTCTGAGTATCTATCAGTTCGGTGGATGCTACTGAAATCTGATTTTTCCCTAGCCTTATGGCTTAATTAGCAGATATTACTGCTGTTTGCTTTGCTTTTTGGATGTCGTTCCAACCTTACTTTTAAAGAAACAAGTACAGAGACTTCTATGGTCTACTTTGTCTATACGATAATTATTGAGATAGTGCTGATTTCAAGTAGTTGACCAGTACTATATCTTACAGTTTACAGAAGTGGAATTAATCAGAATTTACATCAAAGTGTACCTATATGCGCACAGTAGATACATATTAAACAAAAATCTACGGGTAAGCGATTGAATGAAAAGCAGAGACAAAGCAAAGTTTCTAGGAACAGGTTTACACTCGATTTGAGTGATGCGCAAGAGGATTTTATACAGCTAACTGCGATTACTTGAGACAAATTTACAAATAAAATCAAGGCTCGGTTTTCCGAATAAATGCTTTTGCAATATCGAATATCTAATCTTTTTCATGAGCTAGTGTAAGCCAATTGATTTCTTTGACCTCGATTCTTGTTCTTTCGGTACGGTTCGGAGAAAACAAAGGTAGCAGCCAGCATGGACTAACTACCAGAGATTATAAACAGTAAAAAATTCCCACAAAAATCTCTTGTTATACAACTACGATTCCCTAGAGTGTCATCAGTGCAAGTTCAGTTCCTTATGTAAATCCCTGTGTTCAGTATCACAAGGATTTCATCGGAAAAACCACCAGTCCATTGAAATTTATCAACCAACATGGAGAAAGGCGAGACTACACTTAAATTTGACAGTTTATCGTTAGAGAAATAAACAACCGCAGTATTACAGAATAGAAAGTTACCTTAAGAGTTGCGTCTAATGCAATTGCCGCGCCTATAGAATTTGAGTATTGATGGTGAGATTCAATACCCAATCAATTTGCATACAGCTATTGTAAAATGAATAAAGGGAACTAAGAAATTGCTGTGAGAGTATACGGTGGTGTGTGACATGGAGTACCAGGTTTGAAGGTTCACGCATACCGCTATCATCACTTTGTGGAGATGGGAAAAATAAATTCCGTTTTTAAGTAATTATTGACATTACTCGCACTCTTCATGATTTTATATAATCTTAACAAACACTTAATTTATTAAGGACTTTTTCAAGTTAAACGTCAATTTTTCTGCCCATTATTCGCATTTCTCGCTCAATAAATGCTTAGAAAGAATACACCACACTTTCTCGCCTTTCATCTTGACAATCAGTCACACCCGTACATTATCGGAGAGATCTATGTCACTTTCTGCACCATTTTAGGCTAGTATGAATGCTATATTCAGTTGCAAGTCCTGCATCATCTGACTTTCCGTTTGGTTGGAGCTGCTATTTAGGGAAATGACCTGAAATTGACTCTTTTTGCCAAATTTACTTTTGTTCATAATGGTTTACGTTATCTGGATTAAATGTTCCACCGTTTTACACCGTTGGGGAATTTAATGAGTTGACAATATTACAGTTTTCTACGTTCCTAGTGTCAAAAAGTGATTTCACTGCCTCAAAAGTTATAGCTCCATAACGTCGTATTGTGTTAATGATCTGATTATCACCGGTCCCATCACTAAACCGTGCTTCTGAAAGGTAGTCCACTGTTTACTTTTCACTCCTCATTATTCAGAATTAATGAAAAGAGGTCAATAAAATTGTATTATTCCATGAAAATCACATAAATCTGAATATTACTATACTTCACTGCGGTCCAAGCTGCCCTTGCAGCGAGTGGATTTTTCATGTATGAAAGGCCTTTCCTGAAAGTGCAGTGCCTTCCGGTTAATAGGCCGTCGCCTTCCTCATGTTTTAAATAGCTGTTTAAATAATCTTCTTCGTCAGTTCAGCGATGACACTCGTTAGACTAACAGATCGATAGCTGCTAAATGAGTTTTTGCTCCCCAATTTGTGAACCTGACTGATAGTGGCATCTTTCCTATCTCTGCTTGAAAATGATGAAAGTTCAGCAGTTACATGCGCCGGGGCTATTATGATCCTAGGATAAACGTCGTCAGGATTACTGGACTTTGCTGGCTCCAGATGTTTAAGAAATCGCTAGACAACTACTTTCTTAATAACTGGAGGATCTATTGACAAGCCGCGATCTTTGTTTTAGGATTGCGTCACCGACGGTGTTGTCGGCAGCTCTGTAGATGGATTTTCTACCCTAGCCGTTCACTTTGTTTCCAATAGGTGCAGGTTGGGACTCGATGTCCCGAATCCAATAGCAAAAACACAATAATTCTGGGGGAAATCGGTCTATTTTCATTATAAAATGGAAATACAAACATTTATCCAACAATTGGTACACCTTCCAAGTTCAAATTACCCTGGTGGGTATCCGCTTCTGGAAGAATAAGTGCTTCCAGTCCAAATGGCTACAGTATCAAATCCAAAATGGCTGTAGCCATATTAAATATCAAATTTAAACAACATATGTACAGTTCAGAAGGAAACATAAAAACTTCAATTTAAGTACAAGATATAGAAATAATAACAATATACAATGATAAAATCTCAAAATGGAACCAAATAGACTACCAAAATGTCAACAGAAAGAGTCAGTCATATCATAACACAAATATATATATATGGAGGGATTTTCCAAAAAACAAAACATTCAAAAAAGATTCTACAAGCTCTGACTTGGAGGTGACAGATGAATCGGGGAGGAATTTATGTTTCCTTCTGAACTATACATATGTTGTTTAAATTTGATACTTAATATGGCTACAGCCATATTTGCATTTGATACTCTAGCAGTAACGGACTGGAATCACTTATTCTTCCGGCAACGGAACCTATTTCCCTTTTTAATTAAATAAAGAACTTTTCTCTCCCAGAATTATCATTTTTGGACTTGGACTGGACGGGACGCGTATGAACTTACACCTAGCGAGTTAAAAGCGGACTGCAAGAGTAAATTATAATTTAACAGTTCAAAACAATATTTTGAGGAGGATCCTTTGGATTTCTTATCGTTTACTATTTCTAAACAATATTTGGAAGAGGATCTTTTGGATATTTTACTGTCAATTGGTTCTTAACGATATTTGGAGAAAAATACTTTGGATATCTTATTGTCGGCAATAATTGAAGACACGGAACCGGTGAAATTTAATATTTGGTCTTTGTTGTTTCTTTTCCGTTGAATTTCAATTGCTATAATGAGTTCTCGAAAGAAGCCAAACACGAAGAGGGATGAAGCCCATGAAGAATCGCGGAATGCAAAGCAAGTACCGTACCATACTTCATGTTTAAAGGGTTCACTCTCTAATAAGGATGATATTATGCTTAGTACTTATTGTCGTAAGTCATCATTAGAGGGTACTAAAGAACAAAGTTCACACGAGAACTTTGAGCTATCTGGGAAAGATTTGATGTCTAGGAAACCGGTAGTTGGCTTAGAATTGCCAGAGGTTGACCTCCCTTTCTTTGACGGCCAACACAATGATTACTTTAGGTTCGTTAAGCAGTTTGAGACATTTATAGAACCTAGAGTTATTGATGACAATCTGCGCCTATTATATTTAATCCATTACTGTGAGCGAAAGGCAAGAGATGCGATTGAGGGATGTCATATAATGGAACCTCACGCAGGATATAAGAAGGCTAAGGCTATTCTAAAGCAGCTTTTCGGACAATCGCACGTAATCGCTCGTGAAACCTTAGAAGTTTTTTTTTAGATCTGGGAATGCTGACTATAACGATCCAGAGCAATTGTCGAATTTAGCAGTTAAGATGCAGAACGTGTCTATGACCCTGTTACAGTTAAATTATACTGCTGAATTCAATTCTATAGTAACATTAGAAAGGATAGTTAGGCTTCTACCTCATGGTTGTCCAGGCATTTTCACTATGATTTAGACGTTGGCATTAGCCCGTGAAGTATGGACTAAGGCTAACCATGAGAAAAACTTATTCATCAGTAGATTCCGTGAGCTCTTCTTCTGTCTGTTGAAACAAATTGACCTTTAGTGTTCTCTACTCAATGATGATTCTTTCGTGATTGCTATCTTCTCCTCTTTTGGAATATATTGAAACCTGTAACGTGGTTAAATTGGGTTTATATTTAAGTCGTGGTGTGATGGACACTACTCGCAGAGCACTTTCTAAGTAGTATGCTGCAAAATATTGCCCAGAAATTACTACCACGGATGTCTTCAAGCGGCAATGCATGGAGCGATCAAAGGGTCTTGAGGACCAGAAGGCCTGTGAAGTAAGACAGTCAATGCTATTTCGGTTTTGCAAATGGAAGGCTGAAGATTATTTTTTATCTTGTTGGTAAGCTGTGTCCTCTCTAAATATATTATCATTCCACATGCCTTTGACGTCTTCGTTGATCACACTGGAACTCCACAGGTACACCACAATAAAGATAGATCACAACTAAAAGACAAACAAAAGTTTCTAAGTTAAGTGCATCATAATAAGAAACACCCCTACTTACGTCGATTAGATCAATACGTTCTTTAGATATAAGGTTTAAATCTCGACAGGATGTGTTCGTTTAACTCTTAGATACCTAACTTGGCTAGTGCCATCAGGTGGGATAGATTACTTCGTCTGTAGGATCAGAAGCACTTCAGTGAATACTATAGGATTCCGAAATAAACTTGGGGTAGCTAGTCGGACCTCAATATGTCAACAAATAATAATAGCAAGAATGTGAGCCCACTACACTGTGTACTAAAATGAAATGCGTCTAAAGTTGGTGGAAAAATTTAGGGCTTGGGGAATCCGTTTTCAGTATCACTTCTATAATAAAGAACCTTGAATCAAGTCAAACTTGAAGTCATAGATGAAAAACTGTGAGGTTACATACAAAAGAAGTTTATGATTTTGGCTGACTGGTTGTTGCGAGAGATGTACGTCATGGAGTGCGCGGTAGTGATGTGACGTGAGTATGTGAACGACTACCTTTAATCAGGTATCCAGTGTACGTAATGAGGTCAGAATAAATGTCGAAAATCTACAGAAAAAATTGTTTTGAGGACTTGTTTGTTGTGTACATACTTTATATCATAATGTATATCTTCATTAATATCAGTTAGAGGGACTGAAATAAGAACTAGATGAGATGAAATTTATTTAGTGAACAATGCGAATATCTCAAGACAAAAGTAAGAAATAAGTATTAATAACTAAAGTCACAGAGGAAAAATTACGTAACAAATGCTGCATGATGAGGTTAATACATCAGAGCAGCGTTGATTGTTGGATCTTTTTAAGCGCATAAATTTGGTTTAAATCTTCGAATATAAATCGTTTCAACAAACCCTAGTAATTCGATCACTTTTGCTCATTAATTACCTGTAGGACTTTGTAGTATCAAAGTTATGACCTATGTCAAGCCACACTGTTGAAGACGTATTTTTTCCTCAGTTTAAGCTTCATTGAAACGCGTTCAGCAATGCAGATACTAACCCTCCTTTCTGTCATATTTGTGCTTTGGCTCGCAGCTGTAAACTGGTAGATACAATTTGAGGTAACAAAGGGTGGGAGTTTGTTCACGCATAACTCTCTTAATCAGCAATTTCTATCGTACGGAGAAATCAGCCTTTTGGTTGGAAATATCCTTTTTGTTACGGCTTTTAATAGGAAATTATTCGTCCTCACCATTTAAAATTCACTGAATTTATATTTGAGGAAGACAGGCTGTTTTACCTACAAAACAGAGTGTTTGTGCCCTCAAAGGTCCAAATGGCGAAGATTTTGCCATCATAGAAATGGATGGGATCTTCAACACCAATTTCTATTATCAGTTAGACCAATTAGTTACACATCCGCTGTATTGCTGAAACATAGCAACACTTGATGGTCGAGGTAATATTCTATTTTTTCCCGACATACTAAT